GAAGGAAAACCAAGGCCTCTGTGGCTGGCACAAAAAATGAGGCAACAAGGATCCACGAGGCCAGGGATCAGGCCTTGCAAGCAAGCCACGGCAAGGATTTGGGGTTTTATTCTATGCACAGGTTTTGGTGGCCTGCAACACAGCCGGGCTCCAGGGCAGGGCTGGGGGCAGTCCTGACGTGGGACAAACGCCCACCGAGCTCTGAACCCTAGGGCCCTGACTTGTCAAGGATCCATCAGTTCCTAAAATCCCTACCCGGGGCTGCTGGGGGGTTAAAAGGAAAATTCCCCGGAGGGGATGAGGGTGGCACAGTCCGTTGACAAACCAAGAGGATGCATGTCAGGCACTTAATTCAAGAACATTTTCATTATCATTGTAATGAGATTACAGTTGCCAATTTGAAGCTATTTTATAGGTCACTTAGAATTCCAAATCAAAAATCTAGGGAAGTTCAAGGTAATTTCTCACTCTGGAGTAACGAAGAATTTCGTGGGGTGCCTGTTAGGCACACCGGGTCTCAGCCCTCCTCCAGACCCAACGGCCAGAATCGGGAGGGGGGGGAAGGCGGTCGGGGCTTGGCAATGCGATTCTGAGGGTTACCGTCTACAGCAGCCATGGAAATTCAGGCGTTTGATGTGTGTGCAAAAGTGATGATGAAATCTCACTGGGTGAGTAAGGGTAAAGGGCAATAAAAAAAAAAAAGTCATTTTTTTTTCTTCTTTGATACAACTTTTTACAAACTCAAATGTACAAACAAGGAATTTCAGGCTCCCTAACCCATGCTGTTTTCCTTGAGTGGAATTTACTCGGTAGAGCGTCTCCAGTAGAGACTTCTAGATACCCACCCCCCCGCCCCACTCCCAAAGTTTCTGATTCAGCAGCTTTAAGGTGAACCTGATGGTTTGCATTTCTAGCAATTTCCCAATGATGATGATTTTGCTAGTCCAGGACAAGTTGAAAACCAGTTATAAACAAGAGGAACTATTAAAAAATCTGAAATCTCCACTTAGAATGTTGGTAATATTGGCATCATGACTTAATTGCTACCTGCAGTAGGATAAAGCAAGTTATGTTGATAGCAGGAACCCAAGTTTTCAGAGAATCAAATATAAAATCAAAGAAATAAAAACCTTATTTTAAATTTGAGTTAGAAACAGCAATACAGGGGTGCCTGGCTGGCTCAGTCAGTAGAGTATGTGACTCTTGATCTCGGGGTTGAGTTTGAGCCCCACGTTCGAGTTAAAAAAATATATATATATAATTCATTGACTTTTTTTTTTTTTTAAAGATTTTATTTATTTGACAGCGAGAGAGGGAACACAAGCAGGGGGAGTGGGAGAGGGAGAAGCAGGCTTCCAGCGGAGCAGGGAGCCCGATGCGGGGCTCGATCCCAGGACCCTGGGATCATGACCTGAGCCGAAGGCAGACGCCCAACGACTGAGCCACCCAGGTGCTCCTGAGGTATTTTTTTTTTCTTAAAAAAAGTATATCCTTGTTCTCTAGGTTAAGAAGCCCCAGGGGTTGAAGCAAACCAGGAGTGATGAGCATCCTTATCCCCAAGTTACCACTTGTAATTACCATTTCCCGTAAAAGGAACCCAGGATCCTCGGAGAAGTTAACTCTCCAGGTCTTGGTCAGGAAATGGATGAGTTCAGAACATCTTAGGCAAAAAGATAAGAAGCCTTCAGACTGTTGCCCAAAACACACTGAGCCAACTTGAAGGAGCCCATTGGCCAAAGACAGGAGACTCTAAGCATCAAAATGATGCCTGCAATTGCTTAAAACTCATCAAATGTATAGAGTTCCCAACAAAAAACTCTCAAGTGTATTCACCAGCCATGTCTAGGACCAGACAGGATACTGGGCACCAGACTTTATTCTCAAAGCTGGGTAATCAAGGGGGAGAATCAAGTTTTATCTATCCTTTCTTGTTCAAGCTGTATTCAGTGCAATCAAATAATCACCAGTGAGGTCTTCTGCCCAATATTAAATGCAGAGGAAATGACAGAACTTTAAATCACCTTTTGCAATATTCTTAATGCTCATCAATGGCCGCTAAAACCCAAAGGAGAGAGGCTGACAGAGAACTTTATTACAGCTGGACAGTCTGACATCTGAACCCACTGATCCAACTTGAGTACAGGTTGGAAAACCAAGTATTGTAGGTGTCCAGAGATGATGCAGTTGGGAGCACAGAGACCCCTCCTCCCCAAAACTGAGCTCAAATCTACTTTAAAACTTCACCCGTTCATAGGACATAGAGAGACCGGAGAAAACGGGTGAGATGAAACCTCAAATGTGCAATAAACCCAAAGAATGTGCAAACTTCTACAGGACCAATTTCCCAGCCTCTTCAATAAATAAAATGTGTGTATGGAGAGGGACGTAGATTAAAATCGACTTAAAAAAATGATCTTCTAGGGGTGCCTGGGTGGCCCAGTCCATAAGTGTCTGACTTTTGGTTTCAGCTCAGGTCCTGATATCAGGGTCGTGGGATTGAGCCCCACGTGAGGCTCCCCACTTAGTGTGGAGTCTGCTTAAAATTCTCTCCCTCTGCCCCTGCCCCCACCGCTCTCTCTCTCTCTCTAAAAGTAAATAAATCTTAAAAAACAAAGAACAAAAAAAAAAAAACAATCTTCTAAACCAATGAAGTGAATCTTGTTTGGGCCCTGGTCACAACTTACCAACTATGAGAAGCCACTTTTAAAAAGACAAGGCAATGTGGTCATGGAGGCTGGTTATGAGGAATCACTGTCCATTTAGCTCCACGTAATCATGAAAGCCCTTACACATCTGAGATTTGCTTTAAAGTACTCAGGGGAGAAGAGGGAGGAGGGGCAAAATACTGCGGGCGAGCATCGAGGATTCAGCGAGCATCGAGGATTCAGAACAACTGACCTCTCTTCTACCCTGTAGGCTTAAAATTGTACTTATAAAAAGTTAAATAAAACAAAATAGAAACCAGGGACACAATAAAGACCAAAACGCAAGACTGCAAAACACCAAATCTATATTTACATCCACATATAATAACATAACTTTAAGCTGAAATATATCATAAATAAAACAAGTAATGTCTACTGTTTGACAAGTATCAACAATTAAAATAAATCAAACTGGAATGAAATAAATACATAAACAAAAATCCAACGGATTGTACCTCTATTATATGTACTGTTGTCTCAAAGGAAAAAAAAAAAAAAACATACAAAACCAGTAGTATCCCAATAGTTAATACTGATGGACCAAAAACAAAAACAAACAAACAAAATTTTTGGAGTACAAGGGCTGTGAAAAAAAAGGACATTTTTATGCATTCAGAAATTCAGAAATGTGGTGAAGAAAGGAGAAATCTGAAAGCCCCCAAAATTTCAGCATGACATGAATTGACTTGTTTTCAAATAGATTTGGTGATTTTTTTTTTTTAAATACAGGTTTAAATTTCAGCCCTCTATTATCTTGTATCCCCTTTTAAGATTTACATTTATAGTCACAGCAAGCTTTTCTGCAACACTCATTGGATTAGGCAAAGATCAAGTCAATCATCTTGCAAAAATGTGTTAATCTTCAAAAATAGGCTATAAAAGTGCAAAACTATGAAAACAAAAAATCTAGATTATGTACATATGGCTCAGCTTGTGAACAGGAAACAAGGTCAATAGTGTACACTTTCCTGATACAAAGCACTTCATTGCAATACCAGCAGACGGATCTCTAATCAGCTCTCCCTTTAACACGGGAGTTAAGACTTCTGTCAAGTACGTTTCATGTTGCATAATGAAAACAAAACAAAAAATCAGGATTCTTTTAGGACTTTACTCCCGCTCTAACGCAGAAGAGCAGGGCAGGACAACTTAACAGTGCAAATTTATTTTTGAAACAGTTTTCTTAATAAAATATTTTGTGGTTGCTAAACCAATGTACTGCTGAAGAAACTCGGCCACGGAGAGCGTATCAAGGGAACCAAAGTTTAAAACACCTAGTAAGCCAGCTGGTGGCGATCCTCTCTTTAAAACCCAACCTGCATATGCACGGAGAAAAACGTTGCTGCTCAAAACCACCAAAAATGGGAAGACAACAGAGGTCGAGAAAAGATCCCATCTTCCCCATAACCAGAAGGCTCAGCCTGCAGTTCCTTATTCAGAATCAATGTGTCTATAATTAACTCGGAGTATGTCCACAATTAACCCAAATGCCAGGCACACCAAAAGACTTCCAGATACAAACCTAAAATTTACCCAAAAACGTTCATGTCCTTTTTAAAATTCCTTCCAATATGTGTCATTCACATGTATAATTTAGCATTTCTGTTTTTTTACCTACTAATTTCAGTGAATTTTCCAACAAAAATGATTAATTTGATAGAAAGTAAATGCAAGGGACCGCACCTACGATCTGGTATGTTTACTGGACATGTGGCTGGCTCCACAGAGGACAGGCTTTCTGTAAACACACACACTTAAAAACCCCACAATCCACAGCACCGTTTCCGGGAAGGGATCACGGATCTGGACACTCCCTCGGTTGACAAAATGAAATTTGCAATAAAAGGGCACCGAATTCAGAATGGCTGACCTCAGTATATGCAGCACATAGTCATAGAGGGTCAATACTTCCGTTAACAATTTTGTTAAGATAATAGACTGAGGAGGATTTAACATAATACAAATCATTGAGAATTTTTTTTTTAAAAAAACATACATTTTAAACGAAAGAGCACAAATAGCAGGAAACCGCTCAAAGTGATGAGCTACATTAGAGAAAAAGAGTAACGCACAGTATCCAAACAAGCAGGTTTAGAACTTACAATTATGTACAGGGTTACCTGAGGTGCAAGCATCATAGACTTTCTCCCCACCCCACCCTCCCCAACCCAGATGGTTTCTTTCCAGCAGCGCTCAAGTAGGCAAAAGACTCTTCTTATTTGGTCGATTCTAAAAAAAATATAATTCAGGGACAAAATAGAGATTTCCAGTCTCCATTTGTGTACAACCCAACTGTTGCAACTATAGTTTTTATTGCTATTTGGTACAAAAGTTAACAGAACAACGTCACAAAACCGTAGTGTTCCTGGTGTGTTACATGCACGGCACGGTCACAGCTTATTATTTCACGGGCTTCCACCGTCTGCTTTCTCAAAGGATGGACGAACTCGATTCACGGACAGTACACACAGCCATCAAGACCTACGGAAACAAAGGTTCGAGGAGCCATGAAGATAAAACTGAAAACAGCTCAGAAAATCTGTAAGAGAAAAGTGCAACCAACAGAACTAAGGGGATCTAGAACTGTAATGAGTTCCACTTAGCTCAGATGTTGCAACGAAGGGGCGCCTGGCTGGCTCAGCGGGTGGAGCCCACATGTAGAGGTTCCTTAAAAATAAAATCTTTACTTAAAAAAAACACTGGACTCTTAACACCTCAGAGACACCGCACTATACACTGAACAGTGATTTAGTGAAGATGATTTTACCGAGATTCCAAATTCCTACCAGTTCCACAGAGTCTGCCAAAGGCAACTGTCACTGACGAGAAACTGAAAGTTTCTAACACTATTTGCTCAGCCAACATTTAACAAGTCGGATCAGGGATATTCCCAGCAGTGGGCTACGCAACGCAACACAGGAGTCTCCTCTCAAGCGCAGCTCACAGTGAAGTTGGACACACAGGTAAGGGGGGCGGGAGGGTGATGGGCATGAATCACACCTGCACAGGGAGCACAATGGGGAAGTCCCCAGTTCCCGGCAGACATTCTACAGAATTGATGTGTGAGCTGGTCCTGGAGTCTCAGGGAGAGGCGATCTGGCACAGAAGATGCAGGAAGGATGTTCCGGGCAGAGGGAAGTGCAAGCAGAGAAGCTCAGAGGTCAGAGAGAGGCCAGGCCTGGCCAACGGGACGGTGCGCATTTGCTGTCACTGACGGACTGTGCCATCGAGTACGGGAAATCGGTGACAAAGGATCCGTTCCTTGTAATCCATACATTATTCATTTTTGTTTTAATGGAGAGTGGACTTAACCCCATTCCTGTGACAACAACACTTTACTCTCATTCTACTTTCACTATCTGAGGGGAAAGAGGAGCACAGACCCGCAGACCCGCATGAGGCTGATGGGCCCCACGCGTGTCCCCCTGAAAACAGGAGGGAGAAACCCCGCCCTGGACCGGGAGTCTAGATGGCGGTCACGTGACAGGACAAGGGCTTCTGCGAGAGAGAACGCAAATCTGTCCACAAGCCCCAATCTTTTCATTCAATGTATTGGTAAACGAGGCCTAGAGTAACTCTTACATAACTCTGGCCAAACTTGGAATTAACTAAATTACTATGCGCACAACTATGATGATACTGCAGTTTCTGGGTATCTACAGTTATATACATCTGCCATGGGAACCACCAAGACCAAACGCAACTACTTGCTCCTGGCCCACTCCCCTCCCCAGGTAAGGATGCACAGAGGCTTTGAACAAGCTCTTATAAACAGGAGGGCTGGGGGGAGGAGGGCACAGGCTTTGGTTCCTGCAGACCTAGGACAGAACCAGAGTTAAGCACTGGGCAAGTTACACACTCCAGGTCTTGGTACCCTCATCTGTAAAGCACGCCCAGGGCCTCCTAACCCAGGGGTCAGCAAACATTTTCTATAAAGGGCCAGAGTGTAAATAGTTTCAGCTTTGCAGGCCCTGCACTCCCTGTCACAACCACCCAGCTCTGCTAATGTGGCACAGAAGAAGCCATCAACAATACAGAAAGGAATGGACATGGCTGTGTGCCAGGAAAACTTTATAGACAAGAACAGGTGGAGGGCAGTTTGCTAATCCCTGGCCTGATGCCCCCTGCTGTGGGAAGGATTAAGTGAGGTCATGATTATAAAACACTTCAAGGCAGAGCACAAAATAAATGCTTAGTAAATTCCAATTGCTATTACTATTATACTATTATCATCATCACTGATATCCAAAGACCCTGAGAACTCAAAAGTTTTAAAACACTTTAAAATTAAGGGCACCTGAGTGGTACAGTCCGTTAAGCATCCCGACTCTTGGTTTCAGATCAGGTTGTGAACTCAGAGTCTTGAGATGGAGCCCTGCGTCGGGGCTCCGCTGAGATTCTCTCTCCCTCTCCCTCTGTGCAACCCCGCCCCCCGCCCCGCTGTGCTCTCGTGCTCTAAAATAAATAAATCTTGTAAATAAATAAATAAAAGTAATTTTACTTTATATTCTACAGGATAAGTTAGATGGTTTATTTTCAATTAAGCAAAATCAATACATCGTATATGCTCACCTTTCTTAGACAAAATAGGAAATCAAGTTTTTTTGTCATTTGGTCGATAATGTGCATTTCCAATAAAATTCTCATAGTTTCTCTTTTGTAGCATGCTGCTGGACAAGTGTTGGTACGACACTGGCCTTTTTCCTGTTTGGAAAAAAATGTGAAAAGGTGTTTAGAATTAAGTTCAACAATTGGGAAGGTGTATGTGGGTTGTCAGAGGTCAATTTTCACACCATTCCTGACTGGTAATGGGATCAGAATACACCAGCTGCATGCACGTTGCAAAGTTATAACTGAAACGTTTTTAAGTGCCCTGAGGATATTTGTCAGTACAAAATTTCAAGTCATTAAAGCGAAAATAGATCTAAGTACTCTTAGTAAGAACTAAAAAGTCAAGATCCAGGGTTTAGGCACAGGAAAAAAACAAAAAGCCCAAAAAATGGTAGCATAAAATATTTTAAACTTATATGCATCAGAAACCAAAACTGTGGGGAAGGAGAAAAAAATACTGATTCAAAAAAAGGATTTTACGGGGGGTGCCTGGCTGGCTCAGTTGGTGGAGTGTGCAACTCTCAGTCTCGGGGCTGCGAGTCTGAGCACCACGTTGGGTGCAGAGATTACTTAAAAATAAAACCTTTAAAAAATAAAAATTAAAAAAATAAAAAAGGATTGTGCTTGCAATACAGAGCCCGGACTCTTCAAGTTAAGGCAAAGTTTTGACTCCTGTCCATTTTAAGAGCTTATAGGGAGAAAGATAAGACAGTTTTGATCAAAAGTCTGCAAAAATTAATATTTCATCACAATTTTCATGAAATTCACTGGAGTGTGTGAAAAAAAAATTGTTTTCTTAATTTGCTATCCATACCAGATCAAACGGCATCCAGCTATCCTGGGTAAGAGTACTGTCAACCACACAGAACCCTTAATTTGAAGTTAATACAAACTGAGAGGTTTCAAATGGATTTTTCTTCGGACCTGCACAAACCAGCAGGACTTCTATCCGACAAAGCAAGTGGTTTAATCAAGTTTGCCAAGTGGGACAGGTCTCCAGGACACTCTGACCTACCTCTCTACATGCACAGGTATGCACCACACACCTCTAAGGGAACGCGGCCAGGAGGAAGCAGGGTTTTGAAAACATTTCCACGGGGAGAACTCCAAAGTACATCTACGACTTTAACAATTTATCCATTTGGGGGAAAGGGCGTCCCTTTTAAAACGCACCTAATGTTTAACGAAGGCTAAAAATCGGGCAGCCTGAGTCCGGAAGCCTAACACCGAAACTGTTCAAAAGACTCTTGTTCACTGGGGTTCTTACACGTTCTGTTCCTGCTGGGTGGGGGGCCCGTGCTCGGGGGGGCGTGTGTGGGAGGGTGTTCACTGCGAGGTGCCACCTGCTAGTGGGGACACGGCCAGCCGCGTACATGGCAACGGGACGGCAGCCGAGGCCCGGCTCCGAAGGACTTCAGCGTGGGGAGCGGGGACCCGGCCCCGGCACCGACCCCAGGCTGGACGTGCACGGGGCGAGTGAGGCACGGCGCTCAGGGCCCACCGGAAAGCCGGCCCGCAGGACCCG